GAGAAGATGGAATCCACAGAGCCCAGCCCAGCTAGAGATCGGAGGACAGAGGCACAGGCGGCATCGCTGACACAGACCTAGGAACAGCGCCTATTCTGCTTGTCGGACTGGAGACGAACTCCTGCCTTTGGGCAGAGCACTCAGAAGTGGCAGCAGATGGCCCAAGTGGAGCATCCTTGAATAAAGCTCAGGATTTACGGGAATGCAGAAGCATTTAGCATCTAACAACAAAGTAATATTCACATTATTTGGCTTCTGTTCAGAGATTGAGACATTTCAAAGAGGGGTGAAAACATAACCCATGAAGAAGAGAATAATCAGTTGAAACTAACCCAGAACTGATACAGATGTTAGAATCAGAGAGGAAAAACGAAATAATTATCAGGCTGTTTCCCTTGTGTTCAAAACATTAAGACATGGAAGATATAAAAAATACAAAGTTGAATGTTTAGCAATGAAATCCATGTCTGAAGTGGAAGATTCAGTGGAAGGGATCAGATATTGCAGAAGATTTGAGGAACATCATTTCTTGGGCAGAACTGATTGATTGTTTCTTCTTCAGTACCTAGAATACTGTTAGCTTTTTAATTATTCCAGGGGTCTGAGAGAAAATATAACGGATAGGTACCATTACAGCTAGCTCAAAACTGTTTTCCTATCAGTAAATATTTGTCAAAATATCTTGGGTTGCCTTTGTATGTGGTACTAGTATATGTGGTACAACATCCCCAGCCCTTTTATTTTTATTTTTTTATTTTGAGACAAATTCACACTAAGTTGCCCAGGCTGGCTTCAAACATGTGCTCCTACTGCTTCAACCTCTTGAGTAGCTAGGATTGCAGGCATGTACCACCACACTGGCCTTTGGTATCATTTTTATTGAGAGAAGACTATAGTTAATGATTACAAAATTAAAATATTTGGCTCTGGAATTGCACGTTAGAAGTTTTGTTTATGAGATGTATGTTTTAAAAACTATTAAAACAGATTTGGTGATGCATGCCTGTAATTGCATCACTCTGGGAGGCTCGGGCAGGAGGATTATGAATTGAAGCCCAGCCTGTGTAATCTAGAGACTTAGCAAAGTCTTAACTCAAAATAAAAAAGGAGTAGGAGTGTAGCTCAGTGCAGAGGTCTTTAGTTCAATCCCCAGTGCCACAAAAAAAAGACAACAATTCAAAAATTCAGAGTAATTATTTGTTATATTGTTTCATAAATGTGTGATTTATTTTCCTGGCTGGCTGGTAAACTTCATAAGGGTGCTGATTTGTCTCTTTACATCATTTGAAGTGCTTTAATTACTTAGTATGGTGTGCCTGGTAGCACATGGTCAGAGGGACCCCCCAGCTCTGACTCTGTGAGGTCAAATCAGCTACATATAAGGCAGCAGCAGGAGAGTCCCTGGGAACCAAATATAAACAGAGTTGTCACGGGCATCGAGTGGGTGGGAAGGGAGGCAGGAAGACACTCACCTGCCCCAGAAGCTTTATAATATTATTTAAAAAGAGAGAGAGAGAGAATCAAATGCTGCACAATTCTCAGAGCTCTGTCTTTGTCCATAGCTGGTGCTGATTAGGCCAGGAGTGTTTGGGGTTAAGTAGAAAGCCCTTGGAGATTCAGATATTTGGACCAATTTGGGCTAGAGGCTTAAAAAGCAAATGGGCATCCAGCAGGTGTCCTAGGAAACCGTTCTCTCCCAGTTCACAGGAGCCACACTGAGTCATGATGGGGGAATCATTTCCTCATTTCTTGGTCAAAGAAGAGCACCTCATTTTCACTGGCAACATAAGGAACAAGGCTTTGGAACCCCAAGTTCCAATATGTGTTGCAGGACTTCCTTAGGAAAGATTTATGCATTTTACAAATTAGAACAGTCTCCACAGGTTCAGGCCAAAGTACAAAAATACTTGCTGGTAAGATGGAGCTGATATCAAGCAGCCTACATGGACTTCAGTAAGCTATCTAGCCTTTGGGGTAGAGTTGTTAAGCTGAAGTCACTCACGGGCTCGCTGTGTTCCCAGTGTGGTGCTGCACTGGGGCTCTCCTGCTCAGAGGAAATGGCAGGTGGGCTTCTCACTCCATGAGCAAGAAATGAGGGATTGGGGAGGTAATGGGCTGGATATTAAGGGAAAGAGCCCAGATGTTTAGGAAATCATTACTGTTCTTGCTGCTTTATCACTGATGCTAAATGGTGTTAAACAATGAAAAATTAAGGATTTACAGTTCTTTCCTCTATGTTTATTTGAATTCGAAGAAAAAAATTCTGTATTACAGGAATACCACTGATTACAAGATACCTTTGAAATCCTGACCTACCAAGCGCAGCACCCGCACAAAGAACAGCTTAAAATTGATCCCCAGTGGTGGACTGCTGGAGGAAAAAAGAGAAGCCAACACAGAGGTTTACTAAATGGAGTAAGAGCGACTTTAGCCAGTTTAGCAAAGTGAATGAGAAGTATAGTTGAAATCATATGGGAAATGCAGCAAGAGAAGTAGAAGGGGAAATTCGAGAGGAAGTCACCAGCCCCTCAGCTGTGTTCTGGCAAAGATGTGAGAGCTCTGTGTGAGCCCCAAGACCAGACAGGATTCTGGCTTGGCGTGAAGGAGGGAGGGAGGGAAGCGTTCGGAGAATTTCCATGAGAAGAGCGTTTGACACAGATCCCAGAGCAGAGCACCTTTCCATCACTGGAGTAGAGGAAAACAGCATGCTGAAGAAGAGGATCCTTCTCTGATTTGTGTGTTTGGCCCAGTGAAGAAAATGCTTATGATGAATTACAACAGTGGGCTTGCAACTGTCCTCAGCTCGGTTGTGACTGGGATCCAGAACCACACGGAGCTCCAGAGGAGAAGGAAGCCTGTGGTTACCTTGATGAGCCAAGGAAACATGGAAGTAGAGGAACAAAGGCAGAACAGGAAGTGAGCACTGGGATCGCCACAGCCCATCATGGGAGCCAGTGTCCAGGCAGTGAGAGCCTGGATGACTGAGACCAGAAGGCTGAGATGAGCTTCTAGGGATCAGCACCCACAAGAGAGTGCGCCAGGGATGAGGGAGCAGCACAGAGCTCCGAGAGGAGACCTGTGGGTGGGCGCCCTGCAGAGTGCTGCTCAGTGTGCCTGTGAGGAAATCGCCTGTTACATGGGGCAGTGGGGTTGAACTCCAAAATAACTGTGCTGAAAGAAGACAGATTTTTAAACAAGTGTGGTATGGTCCCATTTATGTAAAATTTTAGGAAATGCGATGAGCTGTGGTGAACGAAGTGAGGATCACTGATCACAGGAGACAGGTGGATGAGGGAGAGAGTGTTAGTCAACTCCCTGTTACTGCAGCAAGCACCCGCAGTGCTCCACTGGTGAGAATCAAAGGTTTGCTTTGGCCCACCATTTTTGACCATGATCTAATGGCCCTACTGCCTTTGGGCTTTTGACAAGAAGCACATCATGGCGGGGTGTGAGCAGAGAAGCAAACCTGCTCACCTCATGGCCGGAAGTGAAAAGGAGAATGAGGAGGCCTGGTGCCACACTGTCCCCGCCCAGGGCATAGCCCCTGTGACCCGAGGACCTCCCAGGAGGCCTCACTCCAAAGGGTCCAGCCTAGAAACAGGCATCTCTAATACATTGTCTTTAACTCCCTTGGGAAGATACAAAAGGAAATTAGCTGGTTGAATGGAATTTCTAGTTTGCATTTTTGAACACTCTCCATATTGATTTCCATAGAAGTTAATAGCTTATATTTCCTACCAACAATGTAGAAAGGTTCCTTTTTCCCTGCAGCCTCACCAGCATTTTTTATTGGTTGATTTCTTGATGATGGCCATTCTTTCTGGAATAAGAATCTCAGTGTTGTTTTGATTTGCATTTCTCTAATGGCCAGTGATTTTTTTGTTGTTGTTGTTGCTGTTGAACTTTTTTTGTGTGTATTTACTGGCCATTTGTATTTCTCCTGCGAGGTGTCTATCCATCTCATTACCTATTTTTTTATTGGGTCTTTTATTGAGGGGGTCTAGTTTTGGAGTTCTCTATATATTCTAGATACTAGTCCTCTACTGAAGAATAGCTGGCAAAAACACAATTTTATATAGCAGCACAACTGGAAGCAGCCTATATGTCTGTCCTCAGACAAATAAATATGGGAAATGCAACATTTACATTATGAAGTACTGCTCTGCCATAAAGAAAGATGAACGAGTGTTTATAGGAGTGTGGGTGTACCTTGAGAGCGTAATGTTATGTGAAATCTATCAGACACACAGCTTAACTATATGGTTTCTCTTGAGAAACCCAAAGTATAAATAAAGAGGAAAAAAAAGATAGCTAATAGGAAGTAGGGACACAGATCTTTCTCAAAAGGGCTAAGAGATCAATTGAGGGAGGAAAGGTGGAAAAGAGGATGAAAAAAAGAATTAAGATGTGTCATGTGCATGTACCAACTCCATACAAGGAATGTAATCAGTATTTACTGCAAATATGGACTAATAACAAGTTCTACTTCCTCCCCACGGTGCCACACTGGAAACTAAGTTTTCAGCATACACAGTGGCCTTTTGGGCCATTCCAGGTCCAAACGGTGGCAGAGGAGGAGTGAAAGATGGCAGGGGCCCAAGGAAATGCATGGAAACACTGGAGATGCTCTATCCTGACTGAGCAGATGTTCCCATAGGTTATTATACATGCCAAAACTTGTATAACTGTTATACTTCAAATACTTGAAGTATACTTCAAATACTTATAGTTGATTTTGTCAATTGTACTTTAATAAAGCTCTCTTTTGCAACCTACATAAAAATAATGCAAATATAGAACAGGAACTTCCTTCCAAGGCTGTTCCAATAAAAGGAAAGGAGAGGAACAAGCTCTTTCCCAACGAAACCATCTTATACTAAGAGTTTTGGCATTCTTAGTTCTTTCTGGGTTTTAGAGATATGAGTATGTTGGTAAAATCTATATGGTCAAATATCACCCTTATTCATTAAGATACAATTGTATGCAATTTTGTGTTTCAGGATTCATGAGTCAAACAAGGGACCAGGAAAACTGGATTCGTGCTGCTGCCCCAGAAGGAACTGTAAGTTTTAGAAGCCAGTCCTGGTTCCAGTCCCTGAAACAGCAGAACTACGAAGAGTGACACTGGTGCAGGCCGTACACCACTGGATATACTGGACCCAGGGGTGCTTTGCATGCTTCCTAAGGCAGCACAAGGTTATACTTTGAAACTCATAAATTACTTATTTCTGTGTGAAAGATCGGCTGAAGGTAATTGATACCATGAAAGGCAAAACCTTAGCTGAGGGAGGGCACCTGTATCACAGATTTAGTGGTGCAAACCAATACTGAAGCAGCAGCTCACCCTTGGGCAGGTTAAGGGCCTCAGGACTGGATTCTGTGCTCCAAGTATCACAAGGTGGAGTTCTCACTTGGAGGCTCTCAGGAGAAATCTGCTTCCAACTTCATTCAGATTCATAGGCAAAATCCAGTTCTATAAAACCATGTGAGGGAAATACCCATGGCTCTCAATCATGCTGAGCTTCTAGAGACCGCCCGAATCCCTTCCCGCGTGCTCCCTCTGTCCTCAAGCCAGCCGTGGTAGCTGAGTCCTTCTCCTGTTGGAGTATCTGACTTCTTCAAGAGCCGGCGAGATCTCTGGGGTTACAGTGCTCACTTGATCAGGCCAGACCCATCCCTTCGCTGTGTGTAAGGTGATCTTCACAGCTGCTGCTCCCCAGGGAAGCCAGAGAGCTCGCAGTTCGTGTAGCCCTCATGTGACAGACTGTCTATCTGCTACCTCTCATAGCATCAATGTAATTGTAAGTTGTGAATAAAACACTTAAAAATACGAAGCATTTGCTACTGATTGTTAATATCTTCTGTGTAATTTAAGATGTACCTTGTTAGGGGCAAGAAACTTGCAGTTGTTTAATTCCCACATGTATGAAGATAGATTTTCACTTCTATAATGGTGTGCTGTTAAAAGTTATATTTCAAACTTTTTCTCCTCCTGGAACATTTTAATTATGTAATACCGAACAGACCTATTTACTGAATTATATATTTTTGATTAGGATGTCATTTCTTAAACACTAATTTTTAATAAACTTCCAAAGACTGGAAATAGTCTCCTTTTGTTCATAGTCCATTTCTTTAGAGTTCTGTTTCTAACTTCTTATTTAATAAAAAGCTGGGCATGGTCGCACACACCTGTAATCTCAGCAGTCAGGAGGCTGAGGCGGAGGAGTCACTGCAGTTTGCGGCCAGCCTGAGATACATCTACATTGTGAGTGGAAGGCAAGCCTGGACTACCTAGCAATGCCCTGTCTCAAAGAGAAAGAAAGAGAAAGATACAGAGACACAGAGAGAGAGATAGAGAGACTGACAGGAGTGGGAAAGGAGAGAGAGAGAGAGAAAGAAAAAGGGGGAGAAAGAGGGAGAAACCCAGCTTTGTGGAGAGCAGAATTTGCAGGAGCTTGAAAGATACCCACAAGCTGGCGAGCTGGATGCAGTGTGGTGGATGTGTTGAACTGTTAGGTAGAGGAAAGTATGAGGCAACGAGGCAACTTTATCATCCATCTTCACCCTTGAGCGACTATGTAAACATTTTCAGGACTAAAAATAAAGTTGATGAAAGTAGCCAACAACTGCCAGAAAGGTCCTGAGTACACGTGCAGCTACATTTAAAGTTATTAATGGAATTGTACTTACTCTCCCCTTGCATGGCTCTTTTTCTAACTCATAACCCCCTTTTGTGTATATTTCTTTGCTTCTAAACTTTATCTCCCCAGACTGAATGACCAGCTCTCCTGCTGTGTAAAAGATGTGTTTCAAAGACTTGCAGAGCAGCCTCTGCCCATAAGGCAACCTGCTGGGTTTCCAGAGAACACTGCCGGATGCGCTTTCTCTTGGCCTGGACATCCTGGACACCGTACAGGTGCTGCTCGTTTACAAAGTGCCTTTTATAGGTCTCTCCAGTGGTGAGCATCAGGCACTTGGGGTCAGGCTCATGAAGCCAACTTCTATGCAGCTGCCAGAAATCGACAAATTTAGTCAAAACTCAGTCTCACGATGTTGTTTTAAGTTTCTTGGCTAAAGTGGTGCTTCCTATTCAACTCCCAGGACTCTCCACTGCTTATTTCAAAAACTTGCAAAAAGAGGGAATTATTAAAAACTGTTAAAGCTAATACAGAATAGTCTATAATAACACTTTGTTCAGCGCTTTAAAAACTTCTCAAAATAATTTTCATGTCATTTGTCTTAAATCTTTATCTTTATTTCAAACTCACGTTGTGCAAAAAGGCAGGAGTTAACCCCGGAGGAAATAATGTAATTGAGGAAATGGAAAAGCTGAAGGATTGATCTTGGGTCCCAGATACAGCCTGTGTGTGGCGGTCAGAACAGGGCTGTGGGTCCTCCTGGACTGTGCCAACATCAGCGTTATGTGACTCAAAGATACAAACCCCTGTGTGAAGGCTTAAAATCGTACTAAGATATGACACCAACGGCCCATACCTCCTAGCAAAAAATTGAGGGAGCATCTTTCTGTCATAGTATAGGTTACAAATTCCTCCATAGTGCAAACTTGATTGAAAAGATCTTTCTGGGGGCCGAGGATTTAGCTCAGTGGTTCGATGGCCAGCCTTGCAAGCATAAGGACCTGAGTTCAATCCCCGGTACCAAAAAAAAAAAAAAAATCTTTCTGAGACATTGCAAGTTCACAGACAGTTCCGGTTTAAATTTCATTTTTCCCTCACGTTTTGAAATGAATCCAGGGTCAGTTGGCATTTTGTTCATAAATGTCTGGAAATCATAAGAAAGCCCCTTTCCTTTGAAAATATATGCCTGTTTTTTATAAGAAAGTTTCACAAATCCTTAAAGTCAATGCCCTGATTCAAATTTTTATACTCTGACTTTTATGGCTATCTCTACTTTCCTTCCCTGCCCGGAGAGAAACTTCTAAATTCCTTGTCCAAAAAGTCACATATGTCAGAGTTATTTCCTGCAACTGTCACCTTAGATCTTATAATCTTATCAAAACTATCTGTTTCATTGAATTGAGTCTAGGAGTCATGATTATTTAGACAGAAGAAATGATGTATTTAGAAACAGTTGTAGCTGGACTAACAATCAGGAGATGCCTTGCTGTTTGTTTAGTGTTGGTGGGGTCCAGTTGGTAAAAATACTTACATCAAATGAAGAAAAGTTGCCACGCTCTAGATGTTTTGGTTTTCCTGCCTGAGGCTGAGTCGTACTGCTTCCTTTGCATCACCCTGCAGTGACTCTTCTGCCGTGAAGTCTGCGTCGTCCTTGGGTGCTGTTGGGCTCTGATTGTCTGGCAGCGGCTTGCCTTCCCAGTCATACCTGAACCAGGGTGGAGGGTCATCAGAGCTGTACTCCTGCTGCTGAACGACCGATGCCATTCTGTGAGCCTCCTCCCTGGAAGAGCGGTGACGGGCATTAGCTGGGTGCACAAGCAGCCCCCATTCACAGGACCAAAGGCGGAGTTGGAAAACACGTCCCAAATGGAATTCCCTCCTGAGCTCTCTCGCCTTGCAGAAAGGGATTACACTGTGCTGATAATCAGGCTTCCAGAGCCACAGTAGCTCCTCGGCTCAGAGATTATGGACTCAGTGAATGGTAGGGAAGCTGGGCTTGGCCATGGCGGCCCTCCACCTGGTACCCCAGTTTCTTTGATGAGGGCTGACCTAACCAGTCCATGCAGTTTTGTCTGTAATACATATTTTACTGAGGAAAAGGTGTGTGACCCAAAGGGCTCCATGTGCAGATGATTAGAAAAACTGTTAGTCTTTCTTAGGGAAATAAGAAAAGGCATCGGGGAAAAAGTGTTTCAAACTTGAAAAGAGCCATTTTGACTACAGAAGGGCTTTCCTTGGAAGTTGGTTGGAATCACAAGACCAATAATAAAAAGGAAATGGGTAATCAGCCACTACTGTTGGATTAGAAGTGAGTAACTGTGATGTCGAACCATGAAGGGGCTACTTTCCCACTGCTCTTGCTACATGTTCTGCTGAGTTATTAACTGCAAAAATAACTGAGCCGCTGATGTGGGGCTGGCATTACCACATACGTGGAGTTAAGTCTGTGCTGAATGGTCATACAAATTCAGGCAGGACAATCAAATTGGAAAAAGTGAAACGTATTAGCTCAAAGTGCTGTTTAATTGTAACAAAAAACAGCGAGACAACCAAAGTGCTGCTAATTCTGTCTCTTAACATACTGCTTTTTGGTTCATATGTATGCTTTCACACAAACTTTACAGAATTGTTTAAAGAACACTTGAGTCAAAGTAATTGTTATGTACTAACTTCTAGTGCAGAGCCAACATTCCCATGTGCTAAGAGTTGGCAAAAAAAAAAAAAAAAAAGAATGGTGAATTTATGGTAAAAGAAATAAGGCTTTGCATTCTGTTAATTTTTAAATCTTTCTTAAAGTGTTATTTTGTTTCAAACCTATTATATATATTCTCTAAGTAGAACATTATTATATAAAAAGAGTAGGCTTATAGCTTACATCTTTCACTTTTCCTATATTCTCCTCCTGATCTTCCTTTTCAGTTCTATGAAGCTGAGGTTACCATATGGCTTCAGGGGTTTTCTCCCAGCTTTCCTGCCAAAGACTTAGCAAAATGTAAACCCAAGCACATGGAACCTGAGGCACAAAACACTGGCAGCACCAATGAGCAGGGTAAGATGCCACCGTAGGCAGCAGGTTGCCCTTGAACCCTCTCTGCCTGTCTGAACTTTACCATCTACCACAGTGCCAAGCCATTCCAGCCTATTTTATGCAAACTCAAACCCAGGGCCTTCCTCCTCTGAACTTCTTTAGGAAGCTGATCATGGAATTAATTCTTTCTAACACATAGCTTCAGGACCTTGTTTTAAACTTTGTTATTTTCCTTTGGCTTAAAAAAGATAGTAAGTCATTTAAAGGTCTATTTCTTTGCATGTCTCTGAAGTCTAACAATGACATCCCAAACAGGAGATTTCAGCAGCTCACCAAGAGTCTGTTAGCTCTCTTGGCTACTGCTGGTTTGCTTGTCTAGGGGAATCAGCTTTGGGCTCCTGCTTGAAATGCCCTCCTACCCCATCCTCCCAAATAGCAGAGCTCTGGACACTGAGCCCTTTACAGTTATCATTCGACACAACTGACGCTGACTGTACTACAAGTCAGCTAACTACTTTAGAGGCAACAGTGGTCCTGAGTTATAGGAAAAGGAAATGTTTGTTGTAGCCATAAAGGATTTGCAAGTAGTTGAACAAATTATGCGATCTTTTTGTTGAGGGTAGGGTTGAGACAGGGTCTCACTATATATGTTAGGCTGGCCTTGAACTGCTTATATAGCCCAAACTGGCCTCAAACTTGCAATGATACTCCTATCTCAGCTTCCCAAGTGCTAGGATTACAGGCGTGAGACACTATACCTGCCTCAATATTATCATTAGATTCAGAAAAGCACCAGATTTTGAGAATCCTGGGTAGCTGATATGAGGACAAGAACTCTTACTGCTAAGTTTAGGATTGTATAAGTATTGGACCCTACCTCCACTGCAACCCAGAGTAAATTTAGGGTAACTGTGATTGAAAAACAATTAGCAAATAGTGACAATATCAGAAAATCACAAGAAAAAGGTGACGTTAATACAGATGTAAGAAAAGTGGGGGTGAACAGGGACACCACGCATTAAATTCAGTACTGTGGGTCAGAATTCAGTGCCAAGCTGCATGTTGAGCTGCACCCCTGGGCAAGCACCCCGCAGTGCATGCTTCTTCTCTTGTTTACTTCCGGGCTCCCTGTCCCCTTTGTCCTAGTCTCAGTAGTGAGCAGCCAGCTCCATCCCACTCACAAGCAGCTTCAGTGAACTAAACACCAGTGGGTCTCCTGCTCCTGGAAGTTACTCCCTCCACTGCAGGCTGGAGGGAAGCAGGGGTCAGGTCTCAGACCCTCCCTTCTCCTGGTCTCGAGTGCCAGGATGATAAAGCATCCCTGGATCTAGTGTGTCTCTAGGGACAGTTTTAATTATGGGTGCTCTCACACAGGGATAGTCCTGGAGACAAATCAGAAATCCAAATCTATCCGAGAGCAAATCTGGGATTCTTTCTAAAGGACTGTGAATGCTAGTGTGCACTTTCTCCTCTACCCTTTTTCCTCCACATCTTCCTCACTCTTAAGAAGATTCTTAGCCCATAGACTAGCTGTCTTTGCCACCTTACCAGGACCTTTGGTATCCTCACAGGGATGGATTCTCCTAAGACTCAGGACTTGGCCAAGAGCACAGACCAACATAGTGACTACTGGCAATTTTTCTGAATTTTTAAAATCATAGCAACCTACATAGCTGCATTTGTACACATGCACTTAAAAAAGTATCAAGAAACTTAAAACTGCAGAAACGGAATGTTCTTGCCAGGAACAGCTCATTTTTCTCCCTCCTGCACCCCTACTTTCCTCTCCTGTCATGGCTTGGTGCTCTAGTATTACAGTCAGCACCTGGAAACTAGGAAATACTGAAAAGACAATGTACATGTAGGAGCCACAGTGTGTTTCCAGTTCCTTAGAGTACTTGCAGCCATGCTCCACTCTGCCTTGGCCTGAGGGACTCCAAGACCCTGTATGAGATGAGCTGGGACTGAAGCCATCTAGTACCCTGGTCGGTCTCTCACTCTGTCAGCCTGGTGAGAGGTCTCTTCGGATCAGTATAGAAGAGTGATTTTCCAACACGATAGTCACAACCAGTAATAAAGGGCCTCATTTAGGTGATTAATCATGTACTGAAGTTCACGTGTGAGTTTTGTTTTTATAGATTCAAAGGGGTTCAAGGTGGCCTTGTGGTGACATCACTTGCCCTCACTGCTTGTTTGTTTAGTAGGCCAAAAGGGGAGCATGGGAGCCACCCGCAGAGGCCGCTCGTGGTCAGTAGTCGGTATCACGAGACATCGGCTAGTTCACCGGGCACAACAGGGCACCCTCAGCCCTTAGTGCTGACATCCCTTGAATATCAGAGCTTTAGTAAAGCTCGAGGATCTAATCTGAAGGCAAAAGCACAGCACAACGAGTAACCCCTGCAGAGTAAAGCGCCTTTTCTTACCTGTGTGGCCTTGTGTGTGTTATTTAACCTGTTTCAACCAATTTTCTTACTCATTTTTATAAGAGGATGTTTGTAGGATTATATAATGGTGTATGTAAAAATAGAAGATACAGCACAATATGTGGCAAATAATAAATAACATTATTTGCTCGTACTAATAATAAAAGTCAGTAGCTCCCCATATCAAAGGCTTGAGCCTTTCCCCGAGCTGGAGAAGAGGGGAACTGGGGAGAATTTTATTTCTAGCAACACAGCTGTTGAGGAGCTTGAGGGTCTGCTCCAGCCATGGCTAGAGAAGGCCTTCAGGGACTCTTCTGTGCAGCTACTTGGGCTCTGAAGGCCGCTGAGACCATCTCTACCGATTTCTCCAGGGTTGAAAGTTTGGGGCTCCAGACGCAAAAGTGTCTGAAAGGTCCCTTTACGTTTGCTAATTAGAGAAGTAATCATTCACTCTTCACTTCTGTGTGGTGCAGCCCTGCTGGGTTGTGGAGACCATTGTAAGGGTCTTTCTCCCTCTCCCTCAGTGTTTTCTTCCTCTCTCTTGCCTTTCTTCCCCCATCAAGGGCCCCTGTTGAGTGACTGGCTGTTGTACAAGTGCTTCAAATACAGACAGCCAGACTTTCTTATTATGTTTTAATGATTCCTTTAATAATTCCTGGTTGTTATAATTCCTTCTTGAATTAAAGGAGCCTAGCATATCTTCTTCATTTTCCTGTCACTGAGGCTCAATACCAAATTACTTAGAGGAGAGGTTTATTTTGGCTCATGGTTTCAGAAGTTTCAGTCCATGGTCAGCAGGCTCAAATGCAGACACAGAGTGGTAGCCTTCCACTTCTTGCCACAGAGGAAAGCTGCTCACTCACAGCACCCAGGAAGCAGAGTGAAGGGAGCAGCCAGAAAGGAGATACACCACTCCGGGTCACATTCCCAATGAGCCACCTCCCCTGACCAGGCTTAACCCAACAGCACATGCAGCTCTAGGTTAATCCACTGATGAGTGCAGCACCCCCATGACCCAATCACCTTCCAAAAGCCCAACCTCTGGACATATGAGGCTCTGGGGGAATTTGTACATACAGTACTTTGTACTGAAGGGTGTAATTAGATTTTAAGGGCTGAATCCTATGATGTTTTCATGTTAAAAATGGTTCAAAGTCATTGAAGCTATCCCCAAGCAAGAAAAAACGGCTGTGTCTCAGCTAGCAACGATTGCATTTCACCCAGATATGACAGGGTGTCTGCAGTCAAGGGTCCTGCCCTGGCCCTGGTAAGAGCAAACAACTGGGCTTTATTGGAATGTAGGTGAGGCATTAGAGATCATCCCTTGAGCTCTGAAGGGTCCCCGTGCACTGTCTGTCCCCCACGCCAGGATCTAAGTGGAGAAGGAAGCTGCTCCACGGCCCCTCGGAGATCACTGCAAACAGCTGCCAGCAGCCAGGCCTCAGCACTGCTGTAAGCTGAGAGGCTCGGGTATCTTGGGAGCCCCCAGAATGACAAGCAGCATCCTCTCTCAGATGTTGGATGTAAACACACATGTTCCTAGAGGCTTGCTGGTCCAAACCCTGGAGCTCTCCAGGCCACTCTGCGGTGAGGACTGTCTTCCTCCATTGCCAGACAAAGAGAATCAAAGGTTTCAAGGCCTCTTTCCTGCTGGGGCCAAGTAGGGATGGCGTGTTGGGGGAGGATAAAAGGTGCTAGCCTGGCCTCCTCAGACAGGGATTCATAGAGCAAGCCAGCCTCACGAGACCTCTAGACATCAGCGCCAAGACTGCTACTTCTTGCTGGTTGGGACAGCAAGGCTCTGTGGTAGAAAGCAAAATAAGCCTTCTGCTGTCGCAGCTTAGATTTTCCATAGATTTAGCTATAATTAGAGTGTTGCATTGAGGTTTGGAGACAAAACCCAGCTAAACAGTAAAGTCTTACTCTGCTGTATTTTGTTTTCTTTGCTAATTTTTGATCAAAGGACCTTGCAAGTGGGCTGAGTAGTGAGGCAGGATTCGGCTATTACTGGATACTTTGGGTCTTCTTGACCAGATGCCATAATAGTCACACATGTTATTTACATGAGTAAGTCCCTGCCAGAAAGTCTCCATTCATTCGATCTAAAAACAAAATAAAATTTAACATTGAAAGTCCCTGCATATTACAAATGCCAATGAGTTTCGTCAGGCAGCAGCTCTCGGAGCTTGCCCCAGGAAGCTGCACACTCACATGGAAATCTGTCTGCAGTATTGCATCTTGAGGATCTGGAGTTGTTTGCAGCCCCTCTGGAGGTCCTTGAGGATTTGGTCAGTAAGCAGGATGCAACCAGAGATGTCCAAAATGTGCAGGTAATGGCATTTTGCCGACAACAACTCTATCGCTGAGTCTGTAAACTGAACACAAAGCCAACTGGTGAGCACTAGTTATTCAGACAAACTATCTCCCAGAAGAACAGTGTCTTGGTCAGTTTAGGTTGCAATAATAAAATACAAGATTGGTGGCTTGGACCTCAAGCATTTATTTCTCACAGTTCTGGAGCCCAAGGTCAAGGTCAAGATAGAGATACCTGCACAGCAGCTGGCACCTGCTGAAGGCCCTCCCTGTTTGCAGATGTCTGCTCTCTCTCACCATGTTCTCATGTGGCAGAGGAGAGAGAGAGAGAGAGAGAGAGAGAGAGAGAGAGAGAGAGACCTTTTTTCTTTTATGGCAGCACTGCAAATTGAACCCAAATTAAGCCTCTGCACTGAGCTGTCCCTTTTTACATTTATTTTCAGAAAAGGTCTAAGCCGCTAAGTTGCTAAGTTGCCCAGAACATACTCGAACTTGTGATCCTCTTGTCTCAGCCTCCCAAAGTGCTCGAGTTACAGGCATGTACCCCCACATCTCTTCTTATCATGACAAAAGCCCTTATGGGGCTGTACCCTTATAAATCCCTCTAAACCTATTTATCTTCCAAAGCCTCACTTCCTGGTCCTGTCACATGAGCATTTAGGGTTTCAACCTATGAACTGGGGACACACAAGCATTCGGTCCAGAACGAACACAGTCAGAACCCTTGTGTAATCTTTTACCTGGGTTATAACATAACATGATGGCCAAGTTAGTGGTTCAGCTCTATTTCCAAATAAAGTCAGAATTGTAAACTATCTGCCTCAGTGGGCACCAATAAAATTTGTGATTTTGTGGTTATTTTCACTGACAAGTCCCCTGGTTTGGATGAGAAACTTCATTAAAACTTCCTTAATAATACCTGTTACACCAGTGTGAGTGGCTTAGGAAATGCTATAGACACGGGACTTGGCTTTCCAGTTAAAATTCACTCTGAGGCTTTATCAGCCTGGAGATGTGTTTGATAGCTTAAGTTACAAAACTACAAAACACACATCCCCTGAAGTTAATGTGCAAGCAGGATCTGATTACCAGGAGGAGGGCCTGGGCATCTCTGACAGACCGTGTAAGAAAGGTAGTAGGGCCTGGTTCTGGAAAGGGATGAGAAGGTGACACAAACATTTGGAGGAAAAAGATGAGCAGAAGCCACAAAGATGAGATGACCCCACTCTGAGAACAATGCTGAAGTTTCCAACATCTTGCAAGTCTGCCCAGATGTCCTGCAGGGGTGATTCATCTCCACGTCTCAGTTTATTTCATTTACTCGGGCCTAGCTCTTGAATTTATAGCTGAGCTGAGACTTGCCATAGAATCAACTAGATTACTCTTCCCAGGAGAATTCCCTTTCCAACTGGATTTAATTTATTTTATGGTTGAACATTCTACAAAACATATGCCATGAGACTTGGCCCTTGCCTTTTAACAAAAAGTTAAGAGAATTATGCAGAAAAGCCCTTCAGTTGAAAATGTATACTTTGTTAAGTTTGGAAAAACAGATGCTGTCACTGTCTAAGCATGCACTGTTTCCAGAACATGTTGGAAGCAAGGCTGAACACTGCAGTTGAGTCTCACAAAAATACCTCCAGACATTCCCACCTCTCTACAGAGGTCTCTGAGGATCTGATGTCATTGAAAGAACACAGCCCTCGGCGTTGAAGAGGACAGAATGGACAGTGAGGTGATGGAAATGTGCAGGGCACATGGTGCTCCAAGAGGCAGGTTTCACTTAACAGAGGGAGAGCGGAAAAGGAACCGGAAGTTTCCTTTAGATTGGAAGATGAAGCTGTTCAATAAGGGAAGTGGGGTTTGGGGACTCAGAGATGGAAGGCTGGGAACTGGGGATGGAGATGACTCAGTGACCTTTCTAATTCTCAGATGCACGGTGCTGGTCCCAGCCCCACTGGACCAGGGTTATGTTATTCCCCAAACAGCTTCCGTTTAGGTCTATACTTTAAATGAAGTTATTTCATATTTGAGAGATAACATAAACATATTACCAAAAATAACAGAGGAAAAACAAATTCCCCACCTTAACATAGCTACTTTTAAATTCTAGAGTATTTCTTACTTAATGTAATCTAAGTCCCAGGGCATTTGTAAAGATATTCCACATGCTGAACACCACGCTGTGGTCTTCCTCCCACTGCACCCTTCCTCCTTGCCTTCCTGGAATGTGAAGAAGCTCGTCCAGCTTGCAGGAGGATGCAACTTTGTCACTTTGTCAGGTAAGAGGAAGCCACCCAGCTCCGGCCCCAGGCCATCTGTTCTAGTTGGACCCTGGGCACAGCCACTAGCAGAAGAACCATCCCACTGAGACCAGTGCAGATCACTGCCCACACAACTGTGAGCAAATGAAATGGGGCTTTGAAGCCCCTGAGATTTAGAGTGAGTGGTGAAGTGACACATCAGCCGGGAGTCTGGTAAAGTGTGACCCACCGATCATTTCTTTTCCTTATAATCATTTTGAATCCTATAACTGATTTTCCTGATGGCTATTTCTGAAATCTCTAAACTAAGAGTTTCCAGATATGTTAGCCAGCTGCACTGAGAAAAATCAAGATTCAGAAGTGAAGGGTTGTCCTGGGGAATCCCAGAATCAGCAGATATCTTACTCTCTCCCTTTACACTGCGAGTTTGTGGAACTGGATTTAAGGCACTTCACTAAATGTTGAACTATTTGCCCTCCCTGTATTCTTCTACTCCGAATTATCCCATCTGTAAAAAGAGTAAAAATAAACCAAAAGTGTTAACCCTCACCAGCCACTGTCATCAAAGCCTTGGGGACTTGCTGAGAGGCTTTTCCAGGAATGTCTCACTTTGTTGGTGCAGAGAAACTGTATGCCCTGCTCTATGCTGTCCCTAGGCCAGGGCCTTAAGAGAGAGCAGCAGGGCTTTCAGAGCTGGCTGTCCCCTTTGCAGATCTGTCCCACCCACAGGACAGTCCCCAGATGGCCTTGCACTGAGGAAGTTCTCTTTGTTTTCTGGTGAGCAGTTCTCAGGAGTAACTCGAATGTGCTGGAGTGCAGCAGCCAGAGATGAGCGTGTGGCCCTGGCTGGGACAGGGTTCAGTCTGACAGCAGGATCTCCTGAGGCTGTAGCACAAGATGTCATTTTGCCTCTGGGCTGTAAAACCCAGGAAGGGACTGCTTCCTGGAGTCCCTCAGCTGCAGGGCAGGTGGACCCCACTGCTGAGACTTCATCCAACTCTGGCTGTTCTCCTGAGCCTCGGCGTGGCTCTCAATGAGTCCTAGGCTTCTGCTGTCCCTTTCTGCCTCTCTGTGAGCAAGAAATCTGCTTCACGCAGCCTGTGGCATGTGTTTTCTGTCTCACCAGACTCAGATTAGCTGGTGACCAATGCTGGTGACCTGCTTCCTGTCACCTACACCTTCCTGGATGAAACACAATTCCAAAGCCCAGCTTTTTCTCCCTCAAAGATGCATTGCAGAAATATTTTGCAATTGTTTGGGAATTCACTTGAATTTCTCTTTCCCCAAACCCTTATTCTTTCTAATTATTAACTCCTACCTCACATAAATGTCATGAGGATTAGAGATGACTGTGTCAGCAAAAGGCCTCTGAACGGGGTCCATGGTAGCCAGCCTTCTCTCTGATCTGACCCCTTTGTTTTTCCTGGCATTTCAGTGTTGGGTAAGATGAGCTTCCAGTTCCACTGACTGACAGTGCAGGTGAGGTGGCTGTTCAGAAGAGCTGGCTTTGGAGATGTGGATAAGATAGCTGTCTGATACTCACATGTGGACTTTTGGGAACCCTGGTCTAGAATGAGCCAGACACGGGCGTGTTTTATGGTTCATCAGCAGCACCATGAGTGGACTCGGTTGGGCCGAGTCACTGGATATGGAGTGAGCCGAGGGAAACTCAGATTGGCCCAAACAGTGGTCACTGCATTTTCTGACTCACTTGACCCACAGTGTAACTAGAAGGTTCACACGACAGTGCTGTAGCTTCCCACAGGGATTCTGGGGGGTCAACCAGCTCACTTCTAGAACCAGGTGGCACTGACCAGAGCAACACTGGGCATCCCCATCTCAACAGCGCTATTTCCGAAGAACTTTGCTGTGAACTTTCTGGCTCACCACGTCTTTCCCCCCACTGCCTCCTCCTCCTCTGGGGGAGCAAGTAGCTCTGCAGGATGTAGGGGACTCCAGCATCGCACTCTTGATGCACTCACTACACAAACAATACTGAGCTCAGTGTGCAGCCTGGCTGGGCTGCAGGGAGCCTTGCCTTGGGCAGATGCTGTATAAACAATAGCCCGGCCATGTGCGCAACAGAAGAGAACAAGCTCGTTAATAACCTTGCAGTTCCTGGGGGATTGATTGATTTATTTATGGAGACATGGTCTCACTACGCAGCCCAGGCTGGCCTCGAACTTGTAGCAATCCTCCTGCCTCTGCCTCTCGAGTGCTGGGATCACAGGTGCACACCACCATGCCTGGCCTTTGAGAATTTTTTTTTAATTTAAAAATTAAAATTACTTCACCTTTCTGAATATTTTGCCAAAATTTAAGTTTTTTCCTGTTGATTTGTTGTGGTCTTTCTTCTTGATGTGGTAACCCCTGACTATCTATTCTGATTCATAGTAGAGGGCTAGAAGCTGGCCGGAAGCTTTTTCACTGCAAACTCCAGCGAGGGATGGTCTAGGATGGGAATCTGTGGGGAAGCCCCCTGTGCCAATGTTTTCAGCCTGGTGCCTCCAAAGAAGAGGCTGCTTCGCAATCTCCTTCCTGCAGGGAAAGACCCAGCAGCCAAGTTCTGGACACTGAGTTGGAAGAAGTACTTGAGCATCTGCACTTGGTGTCGAGTCCCTAAATTCCCCTTTATGCTTTTGTGCCACACTCACATTGTGGTGTCTCCAGCCCAGCAATCCTCTGTTTTACCATCTCTCTCTCGAATAGTGGGTCTTTTCAGGAGCAGTTCTGTACTACAGCAACACTGCCAATCTCTGGGGACACATTTGGTGGTCAGGACTGGACCGGAAGCGGGTTACAGGGCAAGCAGAGGGCAGGGTGCTGGTGAGATTCCCACAGGACCTAGGCACAGTGAAGAATAAAGTCTTGTCTGGAATTTCAACAGTGAGAGCACTGTGAAGCCTGGACTTCGAAAATGAATCTCCAGGCTCCTGTTTGGGGTGGGAAGAGACAGTGACCCGGAGGTGTAAAAGAGGAGGAGATGTGGGGTCCTTGAGCACCTGAGTAACTTTTAACTTGGCTTTCTTTTCTTTAGCCCCCACCTAACCAAGTCCCAGAGATTACAAGGAGCTGCCAACTGTAAAGAGAGTTGTATGAATTGGATATTTTTTCAGCTTTCTGAACTGTTAGCTTAGGATTTAAAACTAAATTTTCCCAGCTACTTTCAAGCTTCCTGAAAAAGTTTGTTGTTCTTGTTTCCTGTCCTGTTTTTTCCAGTCCTCAAGGGCCCTCACCCTTCATCTGCAGTTTTGGTAGGTTTCAGGAAGAACAAAATTATACATGCATAGTCAATTGGCCATTAGTCCAGAACCCAAGGTCTCTTCCACACCCCCACCCCCACCCCCACCGGGGTTTGAACTCAGGAGCTTGCACTTGCCAGGCAGGCACGATGCCACTGAGCTACATCCTGGCCCTAAGATCTCTATTTCTTGACATGGAGATAGATCCATATTATGTTAAGAGAAACTAAGGTATAATTTATATTGAAAAGTATGATTCTAGTCTTTTTTTTTAGAAAGGCAAATGGCAAATTTATAAATATTTCTAACCATTTTGTACACAGAAAAATATTTTAGAAGAATAGTTATGTTTAGGTGGTAGTATTACAATGGATTTTTACTTTTTCCTTTAAGCTTTTATATGTAGTCAATATTGACAAGATTGGTTTGGCAGGAACATGTGATGACCCCATTTTCTGGTGTCCTCTTCAATCTCCTTTTGCTGAGTGATGTAATTTTCATTATAGAAGTCTTCAATTCCTTGATTATGTTAATTCCTAAGTATTTAATTTTCCTTCATACTATTATGAATGGTATTGTTTTCCTAATTTCTTTCTCAGTTCATTACACAAGAGAATACTACTCTGCCATCAGAAGGGTACACTTCAGTCATTTGTAGGAAAATGGCTGCACCAAGAGATCATAATGTTAAGTGAAATAAACCAGATACAAAAGCTTAAATGTCATAGGTTTCTCTTATATGAGAAACCCAAAATTTAAATAAAGAGCAAAATAAATAATAGGAAATAAGGAGACAGATCTTTTGCAAAAGAAAAAGGGGACCAAGAGATGGAAGGAAAGATGAGGGAAGGAAGAGGAAAGAAATGAAAATGAATTAAAATGTGCAGTGTACATGCACCAACTCCCCGTGAGGAATAGAATCAGTACGCACTGCAGACACGCACTATAAAAGATTTAAAAATGTTTAAGTTCATTAAGAGCATCAACCAAAAAAAAAGAAGAGAAAGAAAAATTATCAAACACTTTAAAATAAGACAAAAGATGATTGTATGACCTCTAAATGTCATTCTGGAACATCCTTTAAGCTACCCACCTGAGAAAATCTGTGGGAGTTCTGCCATTGTGAGACATGCTATTTACTACTGTTCAAGGCCCAGGCTCAGTGAAGTTACGCGTTAGCACCTTACACATTTGTGCAGGAGAGAGGCAGACCCTTTCTACCTGCTTGAACTGTAATCCCCAGGTCGCCGCTGCATTCACCACCTTTAGATCTAACCTGGCAGTTGCACCCTAACATCCAACATTCTTTTTTCCATCCCTATAATGCCAAGATCATTCTAATGCTCTATGCCTTGGCTTTATTATTTTGTTGGTTCTTTCATTAACAAATAAGAAAAGCTTTGACAAATGCTTATATTTGTCTAAGAGTTACGTTTTTAACCTTGTGAAAAATCGATGTTGGCACAAATGAAATCCTAAAGCTATTTCCAGCTTGGAGATAGGAAAGGAATCTACTGAGCACCTCAGACGTGGCCAAGAAAACCAATTCTGCAGTGTATCCTGCCCTGCCTGCCTCCTCTGACATGGTGAGCCGGACACATACCTGTGGACAGCCTGCGATGCTGAGAGATGTGAGACTAATGCAGTAGATGGCCAGCGCTTTAATAATCTCATCAGACAGCTGGGGACAGTACGAGACATCCAGGTGCTCCAAGATCATCGAGCTCTTGCAGAATGCCTGCAAGAAATCCCAAGGTCAAAGGGTTTTCCTTACATTTCTTTCTCGAACGTTGTGCACATCTAGAGCCATCATTGTACCCACCCCAGTTTACTTAGTATGAATTTCAGTCCCTGAAATAGAGAGGCTGCTGTCGTGCTGCTGAAAATAAAACAAGAAAACATCACACTCAAAATCTCTTGACAACAAAACATCTTCATATACCACTTTAACAGCTTAGTAATATTCAAATTTCAGCTAATGCTATCTCATTTTTTGGAAGTTACTTCTAATGAAATATGACTCACAGGGTCAGTAATTATTAGAGTTCTATGCAGCCAAACAAGTAGAGAAGGAAAAAATCTGGAGGTGACATTAGATGACAAACACTTTAGGGCCTACAGTGGGACACAATGGAAAAGCACATCCTTTTAAAGTTTTATTTCTACCACTTACTGCCTCTGAAATCTCAGCAAGCCACTTAACCTCACTGAGCCTCAGTTTGCTCTTCCATTTGGGAAAAATCTTATCTTCTGTCTAGCATTATTGTGAAAAAGCCAATATGTCCGAAATTTCTAGGGTTATAAAAGGGGCTGGAAGTCATTAGGAATTCTTCCCTTTATCTTGGTATTTTTAAATTTTCATTCTCCCCTCCCCCAAATTGAGTGATAAAAAGAAGCAAGAGAAAAATGACAACTCAGCAGTTACATAAGAGCAAAATGAACCACAAAAGAGAGCCTAACAGTAATTGTAAAAGTTTGTTAGCCAGACATGGTGGCGTACACTTATAATCCCAGCACTCTAGGAGGCTGAGGCAGGAAGATAGAGCAAGCCCAGCCTGGGCAACTTAGTGACTCCGAGAAACCCTGTCTCAAAAAGGGGTGGGGGCTGGGGATGTAGCTCAGTGTGGAGGTCCTGGGTTCAAATACATAGCAAGACTGATAGAAATAGAAACCATGACCAATCCACAGCAACACTTAGAAGAAGAGCCCTGCCCCTGCAGTAATTTCACTGTGTACCTGCTCAGTCTCACCAGACACTTGGCCTCATTGTGAAGCAGCTCAAGCATCTCAGGTACTGAATTAGAGAACTAAGTAAATGTTTACCGTGAATGTGGTTATGAGGATTAGGTTTTAGTGACATTCCTGGGTTGTGGTGAGGTATTCCTTGTTTCTGTGTCGGGATGTCCCCTGGAGCGCATGCCATTCCCCTCTCCTGAGCTACTGGATGGGTCTGAGACCCTCATTCTGGCCTGGAGGCAACACCACCAGCGGCTTCTTTCCCGCTGTCTGTTTCCTCTTGTGTTAGCCCTACCTAAAGCTTGCAAGGAAGTAGTTAGCCAGCTTTCTTGCTAGCAAGTTCACAGGCGAGAGAATTTCCAGGACAGGCAGTGAGCAGAGCACTAGCTGTGGAACCATACACACAAAACTGGTTTGCCTGTAGGCAGAGGTCACGTGAAGGGCTTGTTGTTTTCGGTTAGGAGGAAGAAGCTGGAGAGATAAATTGCATGACACAGTTGCCATAGTTAATAATAACGTATCAAATACTTGAAAATTGCTAAGAGAGCAACTGCTGAGAGAATTATTAGAATTATCTCAAAAATAAGTATGTGGGGGGCTGCGGATTTAGCTCAGTGGTTCCGCCACCTGCCTTTGCAAGTGCAAGGACCCAAGTTTGGTCTCAGGTACCAAAAAAAAAAAAAAAGTATGTGTGTTGATGGATGCTTCATTCACCTGGCATAGCTATTCTGTAACATACACGTATCAAAACATCATGCTAAAAAAAAAGCATCATGTTGTGCTTCATGAATACATACGATTTTTAGTTGTCAATGAATAGAAAAACCCAATAATAATAAAGATATACTTTCAGAAGAATTAACCTTAAATTAATTAATTATTTAACCTTAAATCATCTTTTTTCTGACCAGAAGAGCAGCAGCAGTGATTACCCCTTCCTCCAATCTCATGCAGAACTTGGTTTTTTTTTTCAAATGATTCAGCACTTACTGTATTTTGACTCATTCCAGTAGTGTGACTAATTGTGCATGGAAATCTATCTTGTTTAGCAGTTAAATGATGTCAAAAATTGGAAGGTGCTCCCGGTCAGGAGGTAGTGAGGTAGTTAGTGGCGATAAGCAGGCACAGAGGTCACAGCCAAGGTGGTGCAGAGGGAATCTACTTTTAAAGGACTGGACTCAATGATCTTGAACCTGAGCTCAGAGGTTCAAGAAGCTTTTCAATAAGAATGGAGTAAGTCTCTCCTGGTCCTGCCTGGGACTTTGCTTGTATACCCCTTCACAAGCATTGTACTAGGAACATGATAAATTCTCCATAAACACTGGGTGAGTGGTTGGTAATGTGTAACTGTCTTCCAAAAAATTAAAAAGTCTGCTTTAATGATATAAGAAATTTTACATTGCATGGAGCAGGGTAGCATGGAAATGAATGGAGTTTGAGGAATCAGAAAAAATTCATAACATGAAAACTATAAGGATAATTTATCGAATGATGACCATCTTTAAAGGGAAAGTCAAGGCTTTACTGTATGAAAAGCCTCTTCAGTAGCATGTGAAGACAGTGTCCTTGACTGCTTGAATCAGTTCCGCTTAACACTTTATTAGATAAAGGTGTAGGGAAAGTGGGAAGGGTAGGGGAAAGGGAATAAGGGAAAGAAAAAAATATGAGAATATGAAAATAAAATGTTTGTAAATGGGGAGGGGAAGAGAGGGTGAAGGGAGGGCAGGGACAAGGGGAAAAAATGAGAACCAAGACCTGTCATGTAAAGGCACAAGATCCCAATGATGAATGTAACTGTACTGTATACCTAAAATGTACCAATAAGCTCAATTAAAAAAAACACTTTATTAGAGCTTTTAAGCTCTAATATCCTCTGCAGGTGAATTTCTTAGCGGTTTTAAATTAACTTATAAAAATGATTGTACAGTCTATGATACACACTCACAATAGCATTCTTATTTACGGAAAATCTGAGGCACAAAGACTGGTCCAAGGTTTATGCTAAATCAGTGGTGAATCTGAGAACTAAAGCCAGAACTTTCCCTGTCAGAATTAATATTTTCCTTTAGAGACACCTAAGTCACGTGAAGTACTTCTCTGCAGCCGTGTTTCAAGGTAATCCCTCGGGAAGACCCATTTCCGCCTCTGATGAAACCATCACATGACCTTGCTCCGGAGCTGTGGAATCATTCATGGAGCAGGGCCCCTGGATCTCTTTTCTTGGAAAATGCTACACACCCTAAGCTTCTTCCGACGGCAGATCATTTACAGTAGGAATGGAGAGAAAAAGCAGACTTTATCAAGTCTGGCTCCTTCCTGTGTCAAGGCCAGTCCTGCTATGGCTTAACGATCTGAGAGAAATCTTTTCATTTTTCTAGTGAGTTCATCATTTCTTCTCTGTATCTCCGATCTGAGTCACAGTGGGGCTTTGTGACCACATTCCCAAGCTGGGCATGGAGAGGAGATGGGCTTTCATTCCAATTTGTGGATTGTCACAGTCGTGTTCTTCCACCAAAACCCCAGTGTAAACAACCTCGACAGCTGGCAGCTGAGAGCCTTGAAAGGCTGCCTTCGTGATGCACACTCACAACTGTCTCTTGACTAGTTGTTCATTAGGTCCTGATTAGTTCCACAAAGTTGGGTTTCTCCATAGTCTGTTGATAATTCTTGAAAAATACTGTGCTCTCAAGAACTGGTTTCTATCATTAAAAACTATTTTCTGGCTGCCACAAGGCCTAAAAATACAATGTTCACAACTTTTAGTAAATACGAAACTCTCGAACCTCATATATCCCATGAGATGTAGAAGTATGAACAGTGCCCTGCTTGTCAATGTGAAAGGGAAAGGGGACAAGGTCAAAACCCAAAGCAAGTATTACCAAAGATATTTCCATAGCAACATGTGTTACAAAATTACATGGTGACTTGGAGGAGTTTTCCCTTCAAACCAGCTCAGATGTTGTTTTGCTATGACTTCCCTAATTCCTCCACGTGGCAGAAATGCCTTTTCCAGATTCCCACTGTTTCTTAGTTTTGACTTTTCTCACTTCCTGTGTGAATTAGAACTATGTCACTGTCTTATCTTCTGCATCAACATTAGCTTTTGGGGGACAGAATCCCTGCGTGCCTTGCCCTTGTGGCCCCAGCACCTGGCCTGCAGACTCGTTCAAGGTGGGAGGGTGTCCAGAGGGATGTAGACAGCTGCTCTGCAAAGCAGTGGGGAGAATGAGCCCCGGGATAGGAGGAGGCCCTGAGGCCCAGTCCAGCCCTTCCCCGGCTCTGTGGGGAGCTCCAAAGGCAGTGTACAGAGTGAATTCAGAGGAAGGTCAGCTCTTCGTGGTGGTGTCCTGCTGTCACCCCAGCTCCTTGAGAGGCTGAAGCAGGAAAATTGCAAGTTCAAAGCCTGCTGGGGCAATTTAGTGAGACATCGTCTCAAAATTAAAACAATTTTTTAAAGGGCTAGGGATGTAGCTTAGTGGTAGAGTGCTTGCCTCATGTGTGAAGCTCTGGTTCAATCCCCAATACAGTATTGGAAAAAAAAAAAAAAAAAAAAAAAAAAGAGTAAGGTGTGGGGCCTGTTGCCCTCAGACTGTCAAATCTTGCCACAAGAAATTCTGTCTCTGGATAAATTGCCCAAACTCTCCATGCTTTCCTGCTTTCCTCTGCAACATGGGAATGACACAGTGCCTTAATATGGCACCCACTTCATAGAGCGGCTGGGATACTAACACGACCTGAGCAGTCCCTGGCACACAGTAGGTGGTCAGTAAAGAGCAGCCAGCACTATTGTTGGTAATAGCTGCTCTATGGCTCTGTCGAAGTCTTGAATACCACAGTAAAAATATTTTGAGCATATACTTTCGCTAAATGTGTATTAATGTACTTGATGTTTGCTTTTCTTTTTTTTGGTACCGGGGATCGAACTCAAGTCCTTCAGCTTTCGAGGCAGGTGGTGGCACCGCTGAGCTAAACCCCTGGCCCTACTTTGTACATTTTATAGAT